TGCGTGTGTGTGTGTGTGTGTGTGTGTGTGTGTGTGTGTGTGTGTGTGTGTGTGTGTGTGTGTGTGTGTGTGTACCTAAGCTGAATTTGAAAAAAATAATAAAAGTCGATTTAAAATATTTTAAAATTTTTTTATCTTTGGTATTTAATTTCACTCGGAATCCCAGCCAGACCGACAGACTTGATATTTTGTTCACTGCATGTTTACAAATTACTCTATTTCGGACGATTGAAATACTTTCATTCATTTATTCATTCATTCGTTCGTTCGTTCCTTCATTCATTCATTCATTCATTCATTCATTCATTCATTCATTCATTCATTCTTTCATTCATTCTTTCGTCATCATCACCGTCATCATCACCATCATTCTTCATTGCGTTTAGGCTTTTTATTTCAAAAAAACATGCATTCTTCAGATCTTGTTTCATCAAAATGTTTTATCCAACACATCAAAAAAAAAATCCGTTTGAGCTATATTTTATTATTATTTTGTTAAATAACAAATTAATAACGCTTACTATTATTCTTTTACTTCTTATTATTATTAGTGCATATGTATTTGTGTGTATAAATGTGTGTGTGTGTGCGCGCGCGTGTGTGTGTGTGTGTGCACTCGGAGTTTTAGACGTAACTGCTTCTCATGTAACAAAATATAGATTGCACGCTCACGCGTACATATGCACGAATTTCCAAGTAACGAGAAGAACATAATATACATATACACACCAAAGTGAAATAATGATAAGTAGGAGAAGAAGAATGCTACTGAAAATGAGATTATGAATAAAGGCGAAAGCAAAAATATTAGTAAATTAAAAAAACTAAAACAAATAATAATAATAACGATAAATAATAATATTAATAATAATCATACTAATAATAACTTTTTCCATTAATTAACTCCAGGTACCAGCACAACTACAAAGCTTGCTCGGTCGAGGCACTTCACGTTCGTCTCGGATACTCCGATAGACTGCACATCAACCTAATTGCCTACAACAACAACAACATGCACAACATCACCTCATTGAAATCATTCCACAGTGTCATTCTCGATTATAGGGATATCTTGATGAAGGTTAACCGAAATGCGTACGTCACTAACGCATACTTAGCTGAGCTAGCTGTAGTCAAGCAGCCGATATATGGGAGGCTGATATCGGCTGAGTTTAATAGCCAGGTTTTGAAATTTAGACTGAATGATGTTGTTTTTAAACAGATATATTACCAAAGTGATGATGGCCTATCTTATGATGATGACGACAAAACTGATAATTTCATCATTTTGTTCAGTAATTCGTCTAATAATCTCATGCATCGCCAGTTTAAGAACGCATGTTCGTTGGAGCTTTTTAATTTCAGCGTAAAACAGGCCAGTCACAAGTCGAAACTTCGTCTAACCATCGGAAACAAATCTCTCGTTATAAATACTGACCAGAGGTATGCCTCTATCAACGAGACTATGTTGAATGTGGGTGAGGAAGAGAAGGTCAGATTCGTTGTTGTACAATCACCAGTTTGGGGAAGAATCGTTAGAGCGAGTAATTTGAGAAAAATCAGGAATCAATTTCAACAGCAGAAATTGTTTAAAAGTTTAGCTAACAATTTCACCTACACCAATCCTGTTGTAGAAGTCGGTGATAATAAAAATGTTAGACCAACTCCACAGAACAACGTTAATCCAAGATCGCATCATCAAAAGTTTCATCACAGAACTCTTTCCACTTTCAGTTATTCAGATTTCAAGAGCGGCAAAATTTTTTACTTGCTGGGCAGCTTGAACGTCGGCAGAGGAATTGAGAAGTTGACTGATTCGTTTCGATTGTACGCTACAAATGACATCAGTAACTCCACAATTGGTCAGATATTTATTGACATTTCAGTGCCGAACCAACAACAAACTCTCATCAAAAAGAGAAATAACAGAAACGCAAACCATCTGCAGTTAGTCGGAATCAACAAAAAAAGGAAAAACAAAGTGCTCGGAGCCGCCGCTAAAAAAAATAAAAGCAACATCCATCCACTTTCATTGTACAAACACGACGCTCAAAAATCGCAAATGAAAAAGAAATCTGGTCTAGTGTTGAAGGTTGAAAACATAATCGTACCCAGGGGAGGTAGGAAACAGTTTGTGGTCTCCTACTACAAGCCCACTCAGAAGAGGAGGTCCATGTTTGAATCGAAGCTTTTCCTAGACCGGCCACCATCGCATGGCCACCTGATTCTTTTGAACCCCTCGAAAAAAGATCAAAAGGGTAGAAATATTAGATCCTCGCTTAATTACAACCAGAATGAAAATTCAGCTTTGCCAGCACTGAGAAACAGCAGGGAGAGGAATAAAATTTTTAATAATCTGACGAACGGACGCTTGAGACCAGGATCGAATAATTATTTTCACGACATCAAGCTTATGGATTCATCCAACAAAATACGACTGCTGTACAATCACGACGGCTCAGATTCAGACGAAGATAATTTCATTCTGTCTCTTCTAAATGATCTCAAAAACATCAAAAAAACTGTGAACGTCAGAGTTGCTCAGAAAACGTACAAGCCAGTCAATAGAAAAACCGTGGTGATCAACGATCTGATAATAAGAAAGGACCAATCCACCACACTGAACACCTCGTACATATTTGTTAACGACAGTTCGCTGCAGCCACACGAGATTGAATACGAGATGACCAGACTGCCAGCGAGAGGCTATTTGAAGGTGCTCCATCAAAATATCGACACTGATGGCTATCTGACGGGTTCTCCCATGCAAATAAACGACCATTTCAGTCAGGTTGATCTCATTGAGAATAAAGTTTTGTACGTTTACACACACGAAGGGACAGAGGATGACAGTTGGGAGTTTAAAGTGAATGGCGATAAGCTGCCGTTTGTAATCAACGTAAGCGTCTTAAACGCGTCAGTTGACAGAGTTAACTACTCACTGATCATCGATAGTGAGGATTTGGTTGACTGTTGGAATATGGAGGACGTCGCAAGTTACGTTATGAAAAAATTAAAACACTGTTTGCAGTGGAAGCTGTCTAAACCACCATCTAACGGACAGGTCGGACATTTTTCGGATAAACAACATTTTGTTGGTTCTGTAAACTTCGATAATAGCAAAATATGTTACAAACTTACTTCAAAGAGTACCTTCAAAGACGAGTTTGAAATGAGAGTAGACGCTTGTAATAAATTTGAAATATTGACAATTAACGTATTTGTTGAACTGGATAAAAGAATCAGCGATATGTTCAATATGGTTCCTGTCTTAAAAGTTAACCTGCCTTTAATGGTGAAACATGGAAAGTTGAAAGAAATCGGAAACTCAAATTTGCGAGCAGAGAGTTCATTATTAAATGCTTCGCAGGTGGTATACACAATTGTCAATCCGCCGGTACACGGAAACATTCTTTTACGAGGAGTGCCCGCCTGTAAGTTTAGCCAAGAAGATGTGAACATGAAAGAGGTGCAGTATCAAAGCGTTGGAATCGATACCATGGAAATCGACTCCTTCTCATTCAACATAATCACAGAGAACAGCATGGAGCAGTCGGAACTGCTGAACAATTTAACAAAATCCAAATCAGAATTTGTCTTCACTGTCCTCATACAGAAGATCATGTGGGTTGCCGCTAATGTCATTCATCACGATGTTGTTCAGCTGAGTGGCAGATACATCTTCAAACTCAACTCCACCTACCTAAAAGTCTCGCACTCAAGTTCAAGAAGCCAGGATTTGGTATTCCATATAAAAAATGAGACACAACATGGGCATTTAAAAAATCAGTTAACTGGAAAACACATTCGCAAAAAGTTCACCCAGAAAGATATTGACGACGGCAAGCTCATATACGCACTCATGAACAGCTCCAGTGGCACTTCTGACAGCTTCACATTCTACGCTGCTGACAACGACATGAACGTCATTGACAATTTGACGTAAGCTGCTTTTCAAAAAAAATAATTCAGTAAAATAATTAATTTCAAGTTTTTTTTTTTAAGTTTTAATAACAGTCAGAATTTAATCATGATTATTGCATTTTTATTTTTGCACGCAGATTCGTATTTCAGTGGTCTCTAATAAACTTCCAGCACGAGAGAGTTAAAGTATGCAAGCATTCAAAGAACGCCAGCCTACCAATCTTAAGGGAAGGATATTTGGACAGCCAAGTTGTGGTTGACATCCAGACGAAGCCGCTGACCAGGAAGAGATGGACCTCATATGGAAACAAAGTGACCAATTCAACGGTCGTCATGCAACCCGGTCAGTAATGGTCGAGTTGTGTTTTGTAGTTCTTTCGTTTGAAATTTTTAATTCAAATTTCAATTGGTACGAAACTTACATAATTATCATTGAAATTCACTACAACCATAATAGGAATGGCTTCGGTCAACTGGTTTGTCCTATTGAACGTGAACACACAGAAAGATAAAGAAGATGTCTTCAAAGTGGCTATCGCAAGTGCCTCGAAGTCAATCATCGGCCCAAGATATGAAGTTGTTGTTCAGATGTTAGGCCAGAAAGAAGGTTATCTTTTTTCCTTTTATATTTCCTTCACCATGCAAAGTAAATTTTATGGTTCTTTAATTTTCATTTTTATTTCATTTTAAAAGGAAGTTAGGATTTTTAATTCTTAATAATTTATACAATATCCAACTTTTTAACCAAGTAAGAATGAAATTCAGTTTCTAAATACTGAATATTTTATATTAAGTTAATTAATAACCTGATTGGTTATATGATTATATTAGGTATATATTAATTAATGATAAATTGATTATATATATATAATTAATATTATATTTTATTTTAAATTAATTAATTTAATTAAATTTATATTTTTATATTTCATTCAAAGAACCGTGCGTGAACGACGACACGAGTCTATTGATTGCAGATCCAAAGGAAGACTTCCAAGTCGGTGCTGCACTTTAGAATAATTTATTGACTAAATAAGGTTTTCATACATACATACAGACACGTGTGCATTTATATTTTTAGGTTATTACTGACGAGGAAGACCTTTATAGTACAGATATCGATGAGTCGTACGAGAACTATGAGGGCAGTGAAGAAATTGATGATGAGGAAGATGAGGAAGATGATGATGAACTGGACGAGGTAAAGGCACCTAGGAAAAAAGAGAATCTTGGAAATGGTGGCTACTTGAGAGAAGATTTGTCTTACTACAACGAAGAGACTGCAAATGTAAAACGCCAGACAAACCAAATTAGTTTAAAAATCAACAACAAACCAGAAGTATGGAAAATATTTCAACATCTAAAGATATTTAACTTGTAACATTTTAACTTTAACCCATCTATTTCTCATTCTAACGATGAATAACATTTAAAAAATTAAAATTTTTAATATTATTCATTAACAGTGTTAGCGTGTCGATAATTTAATAACTAGTTAAAACCGTATTTAACTCTCTGATGAATGCACAAAAAATAGTTGCCACTGATCAAAGAGCCATGCGACGCCTCGAGAATCAACGGCTCTCACGTCATCTGGTCTACGTGGGAGCTCTTCAGATGCAACGGAAAGCGATGGGTCCGTATCAAACTAGAGGAACAACCAAAAGTTAAAGGAGAAAAAGAAATTGATTCGGTTGACAACGAGAAAAAACTCTGCCCAAGCGGTGAATAATTATTTTTTCACTTAATGGTCAAATTTTTAGGAATGTTAGTTGGTTTATTGAATTTATGAGTATTTGTATAAAAAAATAGCTTCTGGTCTTGCATTGCAGCCATTTTGTCTGACTGCAGAAAAAAAGATCACAACGTAGCTACGTTATGCGAGTGTGTGATGCACTGGCTTGTGCATACTTTTTTACCTAAAATTTTCTTCTTGCGGATGACAGTTAGAACATTTTTTAAAATATTGAAATATTAATCCCTAACCGATATCATCATTTGCAGGCTGGTACGTCTATGGAGACCACTGCTTCTTCTTCAGCAGCGTCAAGATGTCGTGGACTGACAGCAGAGATGAGTGCGTGAGTGAGGGTGGAAAGCTGACGTTCATCAGGGACAGAGGACATCTGTCGTGGCTGTCGAACATGAATAACAGAGAAGCTTTCTGGATCGGTTGGTTTCTTCGCAAATTTAGAGCAATATTAACTCTCATATGACTGAAGTACCGACTTCGATAAATAGATTTATTCAATTTTTTTTATAAATACGCTCCCACTCAGGATTGAGCAATCACAAAGAAAAAAGACGATGGGAATATTTACTCCAGGGAGATCCTGCGAACACCTCTCCATATTTGAACTGGGCTCCTGGAAAACCCTGCACGGACTGCTCCAGATTCAGGTGCGCCATCGTCAACAGGAAACAACAATTCACAGACAGACACTGTTACAAGGATACTGCCAGATACGTTTGTGCTAGCGGGACCAAACCAAAGAGACATAACAGGCGAAATTCTCAAAAACTTAAAAATGCAAACAGGCAAACAAAAAAATATACAAACTACCAGAAATATATAGGAACGTGAACTATATAAGGAGCGCGATTCAGATGATTTGTACATATTTTTTCAAATTAATTTATATTTTCTACTCTTTTTTATTAACCGTATATTTTAAAGTTTAACATTTCGGCAGAATTTTGAATTCGTCATTTTTCTCTCTTCAGTAATTTAGACAGAACTTAACTTTCAAACTTTTTAAAGTTTTATGTGTTAGAGTCAAATGAAATTAGAAGTTACAAATCTCAACCAATAAAACGCGTACAACACAATTTACAAACACGCTATCAACTTTTTTTTCTTAATAAAATGGAATTAAATGATCTAATAAATATTGACTGTATATACATATTTATTTGTTATATTTAATTTCATTAAAAAAACTGAATTTTAATAAATTTTATGAAATAATAAAAAAAATATACATAAAAATTGTTATAAAACTTCAGATTTTTTCAAATTTTTTTCTTTATTTTCTAATTGTATTTCGCCTATTAAACTGGCAGTCAATGGTATGTTTCCTAAAAAAAAAATTATAATACTTAACACAATAAAATGAAAAGAAGATAAAACAAGCTAAATAAAAAAAAAACTATTTCTGAAAACAAAACTAAAATATATCCCCAATATAATGATCTGGTGACACAGTGGCGTAATAATAGTAGTAGTAATAATAATAATAATAATAATAAGTGCCAAAAACACCAAATTACAGTCTATAACACGTAATGTACCTGACGCATTCATCAACGTACATCTTTAGATTTACAGACACTGTATGTGTGTGCGTGTTAGTCGCTGGTGCCTCTGAGGAAAGTTTAGAAGATAATTGAAAAGAAAAAAAAAACTTACCAGGTGGGGCTATGAAATAATCCTCAAATGTCTCCTTGGCATTCCTCAAGATGTCCTCTTTACAACTGCTTTCTGTCGCGACGTCCTCTCGGAGATAGCATGGCCTGTAGCGCAAAATAGAATTGCTGATCATCATTATTATTATTATTATTAATAAAAGTAGTAATCTTATTATTATTGTTGTTGTTATTATTATTATTGTTGTTGTTGAATTTGTTGAGATTATTCAAAAGGCTGATTGACTAGTTAAATCGAACATTCAAGAACTTATCATGAATGCCAGAAAAATTTACCAGTTGTAATGAGAAACAAGATATAAAATATAGTCATAAAAATTAAAATAAATTAATAAAAAATTAAAAAAATAAGTTGTAATAATTATAAAAAAAATAAATGAGACCACCATAGATAAAAAAATAATTAGGAGCGGCAACGCTATCACTAACATGTTTTCGAGGACAGTGTACATGGGTTCGATTCCGTCGATGTCTACATCTAACAGCTGATCAGCAAACTTGATGGCCTCCGCCAACCTCTCAACTGCTTCTTGGGTCCTGAAATCCACCAAGGATAATCTTTCTAATAGGAGGAGTGTTTTTTGGTCAACTTTATCTGGCTGTACGAATAATATTATTCAAAATATTGTCAGTTTTACGGTGTTCGGAAACATATTTTACACTGAAAAAAACTAGAAATAATGAAAAGATAACAAAAATCCTCAGCCAATGAAATACTGATATTATGAATATCAGTCTACAAAAATAAATTTCTTATTTCTTAAGTTAAGATAAAGTAAAAACCTCTGGAAGTTTGCTTTGGTTGACTGCAGTCCATGTTGGCTTGTCTGGAACCTATAAAATAAAATAATTAAACTTTAATTATTTTATTATTTTAAGGATGGCTTTTATTTTAATAAAATTAATGATTTTATTTAATTAATTAATTAATCATTAATGATCAATTTGTTAACAAAAGGTTTTGTTTGTTCACAAACAACAACCAAAAAACCCATCACTTCTTGCTACCTTCAGTTTTTTTAGAGAGAGTTAGATTTAATACAAAAATAAACCAACCTTGTAGGAAAAATATTTCAAACTAATCCCCTTGGATTTCAAACCATGCAACTGTAACTTTTTTAACTTTAACAAAACACTTCCCAACATTTTAAACTTATTTTACAAATTATTTTATTCAGTGATAGTAATATTATTTATTAAATTGTATTTTTAAATAAAAATTTGTCGATTTTATTTAATTTTTTTAAATTTAAAGCTCAAATCGAAGCCACTGGCTTTAAGCAAAACAAAATAAATGCACACCTAAGTTTCCTTTTAGTTTATCACAAAAATGATGAGCCATTCAGCTACCATGAACAGAATTGTCATGTAAAATTTTTTATACCAGTCAAATGCTTTCATACACATATATATATATACATTATATATATATATATATTATATATATATAACTCTGGCGTTTCCCAGAGATCAATTTTGAGACCTCAACTTTATACTATATTTATAAATGATCTTTGTCTAATCCCTTCTAAGGCTACATTTTTGTTATTTGCGGTTGCGGATGATACCACTATTTTCTTTCACTCAAAAAATCCTCATGCAGACTTGACAATGATTAATAAATTCTTTGGAACGCATTGCTAAATAGTTTTCCATTAATATATATTAGATTTGGATTAAGACTGTCAGAAATGAAAATTATTGATGAAAATTACAGCATGTTCGGCGTTAGTTAACTTCTTGTTTAACTTTTCGATTTTTCTATCGGTAAATCGTTAATCACCCAGATAGCACGATAATACGGGCCGGTGCCGGGCGAACGTCGAAAATTACGGCTATGTCCGGCATAATATGGCTGCGCATTATACATGTACGCTCCGACAGCGGTTCGTAGCACAATGGCTGGCACAATAATCCCGGCAGTCAGCCGTAATGTTCATTTTTTTTTATTTAACAATAATAATCAACATAATTAAAATAAAAAACTCATATCTTTATGTTTTTACTCATATCTGTATGTATTTAACACAAAAAATAAAGAAAATATTGTTTTTAAAATAATTACGGCGTTCATTAATTTGCCGTCATTTTCCCGTAAAATTGTTTAACGCGTAAAACACTATGTTTATAATGGTATATATATATATATATATATATATATATATCAGTAAGTTTAATGTCAGTATATTTTGGCAGGAGGTATATATATATATATATATATATATATATATATATATATATATATATATATATATATATATATTTACAATATTCTATAAATTCTACCGAATGTTTGGCGTTAATCGGTAGAATTTATAGAATATTGTAAAAATTATGGTCTATTACCAACATATATATATATATATATATATGAGATTGAAATATTTTCATTTGATTATTATCAAAATATTATTATAACCAATTAATTAAAGTCAGAACAGCATTTATTATCCAACATTTAAAATCTAATTTCATTTTCGCCTTTGAATTTCATGAGAAGCGCTAAATAAATTTACTTTTAGTGGCGCGATATTATAAAGATTCCATCTTTCTTGTTCCGATTGTTAATTGCGATTGTATGTTGTTTTCCTAAACTGCATTTAAATAATTGTTTTTTGCTTTAAGAAAATCGTTTAAAGTAGTCGCTTCGGTTGCATAAATCGTAATATTATTATCGTTATATGATCGTATTTGTTAATATTTATTTTTAATTTACCGACATAGTTCCAAAACACCACTCTAAAGTCTACTCTAAAGGTTAGTATAACTTGAGAAGTAGAGATACATTTCAGCTATATCTCTATAAAATAAAGTATAAACTAAGGACGTCAAGGTTTAAATTTAAATTTTATTTATTCTAATTTTTCATGCTTTAGTTTAGTAACTCTAGTTAGGTTATGTGGTTTAGTAACTGGTAGTAGTAATTTTGTTAGTATAATTTCAAATTTATTTAATTTTTAAATTTTAATATGCTTTTTTTATTTTGATTTTCATTTATATTTTTATTTATAATAAATAAGTTCACGTTATTCCTTTGGTACTTCATATTCATCAAAATGGAGGAGATTGAAAAACATGAGCAAAAAAAGAAATGTAAAAAACAACCCTTATTTGTTACCGAAAAGGTACAGTTGAGCAGCCCTCCACTTTCAGGATTAGCGCCTAGAGAAAACACGCATCAATGTCTCTCAACAACCATTCAAATGTTATCTGGGAAAGAAATTAATTCATTCCGTGACAATTTTTCTCTTGAAAATTTTAATGGAAATGGAAATCCTTTTAAAAATTCAAATGTTGATATTCCAATTCATCTTACAAATGCTTTGGCAACATGGGCTGTAGACGAATCAATAAAATTGAAATCATTAAATAAATTATTGTTAATTTTGAAAAAATTTCATCCTGATTTGTCAACTGATGGGCGAACCTTAATAAAAACTCCTAAAAATTATATCGTAAAACATTTTAACAATGGGATGTATTATCATTTTGGCTTCAAAGATGGTATTGAGAAAATAGTTACAAGTTCAAATTTGTTGAGAAATAATTGTTTAAAAATTCAAATAAACATTGATGGTTTATCTTTGTATAAAAGCTCTAATGAAGAAATATGGCCTATTTTGTGCTTAATAAAAAACTTAAGAGCAGCACCATTTGTGGTGGGTGTTTTTAGTGGTACTGGTAAACCTGAAAACGTTGAAGAATATTTAAAAGAATTTATTGATGAATTAATAAATATTTTGAAGAATGGATTCCATATAAATTCAATATTTTATAAAGTAATTTTTGACTGTTTTATTTGCGATGCTCCAGCTAGAGCATATTTGAAAAATAATTATTTATGTTCTGGTTTTACCGGGAAATTTACTATCTGAATATATATATATATATATATATATATATATATATGTATTTATATATATATATATATATATATATATATATATATATATATATATATATATATATATACTTGTTATTTTGCAAATAATAAAAATAATAAGATGTTATTGTCTAATATGTAACATTTATTTAAAAAGTGGGCCAATGTCCGCAATAAAATTCGGACCTATACCGGAATGATTACGGGTGATGGTAATAAAATCCGGGTCGATGCCGCATCGAATACGGGTGCTGGCAATAAAATCTGGTCCAGCGCCGGCGCGAATACGACTTGTTGGCGCAAAAATCCGGGCCGATGTTGGCGTGACGATTACGAGCCGACGCCGGAACTTTTTTCACATCCAACTCCGTTTTGCTGCTGTGGACCGTCAACAAGCCGGCATCGATGCCGGCATTCGGCGAGCATTTTACCGGAAAATTTTGCTATCTGGGCATTGTCAAGTTTCTTGAAACACCTTCGAACAACGAAGATGGTATAGTATTGATAGAGGCATACCGAAAAAAGCATATAAAATTACAATATACAATAAATGGTTATAAAATGTTTTTTAATTAATTAATTGAGTGATTGATTAAATTCAATAACATATAAATTCAGAAATAACGTTAACTTTTTAATCAAGCAAGACTCAATTAAATTTAAAAAAATTTTGCTCTATGTCAGCCACTGTGATCTCATTTATCCTAAAAATGTTGTTACTGAATACAATTTTGTTTCATTTCGTTTTGTATTGAAATTTTTAATGAATTAAATACAAATTCTTATAAATTTTTCAGCTAAACTTAAAATATCTTCCAAAGCCATGAATTGCAAAATCTGCCAGAGCCATCAGATTATAACATCAAATATAATTTAAAATATTGTATATAACATTTATAGAATTCGAAAATAAAATACATTTAAAATCATTAAATTATAAAACAATGCTACATCAAAAGCATAGTTTTTTGCTGGTAGAATAAAGGCATTTGATACGAAATTTAAACATATGTTAATAAAATAGCCTGTTACATAAATACATAAAAAGCTACATCAAAAATTTGTTCAAATAAAATAAAATAAAAATAAACCATTAATAAAATAGGATCAACAATTTAAGAATATTCAACGCAGGTTCAACCCAGTGTTTCTCAACTTTTTTTGTCGCCAGGCCCTACAGACCCTGACAAAAAATATCCACGCCCCCCCAAAAAACACAGGAAACTTTTATTTTTTTTATTTTTCTCACAAAGATCGTCAACTGTTTTTACTGATACATCTAGCAATTGACAGCTATCAATTTTGTTTCCTTTGATTATCATATTTTTTTATTAAAATCAGTACTTTCAACATCTATTTTAACGTTCAGTTTAGCCTGTTAAATCGCCTCGGCCGAATGAGAAACACTGGCTTAACATTTACTTTAAATTATTTTTCAATTCAATATATCCAATGATAAATTTTATGAAAATAGTGTCAGTTGGTGTCATTTCAACGTGAATTTCTGATTTTTTTAATTCAATTTTTCAAACTTTAATCTTTTCTTTAGAAGTGAAAATGTTTGATGCCAGCCACAAGAGAGGTAGCACTAAGGAAGGAGATCAGGAATGCTGATGTTGCTGGCTTATCGATCGAGTTGGAAGGCACAACTGGCTTCACTGAAGTTGCTATATTGGTAGTGGTTGCAATGTTTGTGTTTCTGGTAGTGGCTGCAATATTCGTGTTTTTGGTAGTGGCTGCTAAAGACGTGACACTTGTAATCTCTTAAATAAGTGAGACAAAAAAAAACACAATTTTGGCGAAATTCCTTAAAAACTTTACAGACAACAAAAAAATACACAACCGGGGTTGGTGTTGTTGTCTCAATCGGTTCAAATGAGAATTTGTTGCACAAGTCGACAGAACACGTGCATAACTAATTTGCAAACAGTCTGGGGGTGTTAAAAATTGGGTGCATCCGGATATCGTGTTACCTTCAAAATTAAAAAAATATGAATAATGCATGAAAAGATTTTCTATGGATGACAAAGTCAGAAGCAGGGCGTGTGTATATATATATATATACATATATATACACATTTATATATATATATATATATATATATTGGATTAAGACTGCCAGAAATGAAATTGTTGATGAAAATCAATGCATGTTCCGCGTTAGTTAGCTTCTTGTTTAGTTTTTCAATTTTTTAATGGTTGATCGTAAATTATTCCCAGATTTCTTGAGTTCAAAACCAAAATTTTTATTTATTTTAAGCTTGATAGAAAAATGCCTTTTCCGGTATTCCTATACCATCTTCGGTGTTCGAATTGATACGTTGTGTATGTGGCCAGATGCTCAAATATATATATAAACTGTGTCACTACTCTGTTGATTCTTTGTTACTTGACGCTCCTTAGTTTAACATTCTTCAACTTCGTCCTATATGATACTTATACGTGTTTTCATTATCGATGATTCCTCTGTTTCTAAATTTATTGGTAAAAAGAACTCCAATAGCACGTTGTTAAATACATATATNTGGAATATGAGAACGAATATAATAAGTATATT